AAAGTATTTTAAAAGAGACCAGGTTGTTTGAAAATCCCAAACGAACGCTAAAAATCATAGAATCAAAACATTCTGGTGTCTGAGCCAGAGTGTCATCGAATTGCGATGTAATGTAAACAGAAATTATAGCAAGTTGATGTCAGTCAGCTTAGATGGTCCAAACCAAAATTATATCGCATTTGAAGTTTCAAACTGAGTTAAAAATAGTGGAAGAAAAGCCGTAATTATACTTATTGTTACAATCCATTTAATAAAATGCAACATTTGTTTGTTTTAATGAAAAAATCAGTTATTTTCATGAGAACGATTTGTTATTCCATCTCAATTTTTTAATCTCCAATCGCAATAACGTAAAGTATTATTACCCGCGAACCAATGAGTCAAATTTAAGAAACAACCCACTGTTAGAAAGCTGAATGGCTACGCTTTAAAATGAATGTAAACTTTAACGTTTTCGTCTATTATTTATTTAGCAATTTACATTTCAGTCGAGGATTGCGCTTTTTTTTATACACCCTGTATAACTGGAACCCTACCCATCTTTTTCTTGAAGCCTCATCTAACCATTAGACACACGTGTCTCGCAGGACTAGTTCAGGGAGCCGTTTTAATAAATTAAATAAGAAAAGTCTATTAGGAAATTTTACCTGAAAAATGCATTAATAGAAAGTTTCCAGCGCCGTTGAAAAGGTTTTTTGTAAATGTTAAGACGTTTTTCATTACATATTTATGTTGACGGATTGACCGTGCTCTTCGCATGCATGAAAAGACTGGGACTGACCTTCAAGATTGCCTTTAAGATTCCGGTTGGGGGTAGCGCTCGAGTTATATTCGTTCACTTGCCCTATGTTATGCCCGCTTGCAACAAGCATGGCGAGTATTCAATACCTGGACTTCATCATAAATTTTACTTTCGACAACATTTCCCTTCACTAGTACTGCGCATAGTCTAACCTACTGGTGGAATGTTTTAGTCGGAAAAATTGAAAAATAACTGATTCAGGGTTTTTTCTTCCAAGGGAATTACCCTAGATTATTGTGCATACGTAATTTTTGTTGAATACATGTAGGATTATTGTGATTTATAAACATTGAAACGTATTTTATATATGAAATATGCTTATATATTGGTATTGCATGCATGATGTCAGTCAGAATGATTTTTTTCATTTGGATTCTACAAAACCAAATGAGTATAACCTTGTTTGTGAATTCAATCAATATGCAAATTGGCTTTGGATGGTTAGTAAAAGACAATGCGAATATTTTGAAGTTGACGCAATAGCGAAATAACTTTTTGAGTGTTGCTATAGTGCATTTTAAATGTTTGTATTGTATCATGAAGAGATGAATCCGCATTATCAAACTTGAGCGCGCAGTGCAGCTTTCAGTACGAGTATTTTGACAATCTGATTATCATATGAGATAATACTTGGGGGTAAATACACTTTCTGTGTTGCCTGCTGCCTACATGCACGTAATCATTCATTGAACCAGTTAACGTTTTGCTTCGCTCTTCAATTTGAAAACGAATAATATTTTAAAGTTTGCTTACAACCCCAACTAGATTACTATAGAAGTCTAATAGTCTATACAACTCGAATTCTCCAATTAATGACGTTGTTCGTCACGCAGTTACCATAATTTTTTTATTAAATACCACAATTGAATATTACTGAAACAGCATTGAGGGAAAAATCAAGCTATTAAATCTAAATAAATCAATGGGGAATGGGGTCTGGTATGTTTCGTATTTTTATTAGTAGTTTTATCTGTTAGCTTTGCGCACTGGCTTGGATATAATTTCATATGAACTTCGAAATGAGGTGAAGACATTTAAATTGCCTATCTGCACGATACGATTAGTCGTATGCGATTGTCATTCTGACGTAAGAAAATTACTGCTGATCATACGTTTAGTTTATGGCGAAGTTTGAAATGCAACCGTTTTTTTATCCATGCTTATATTCATGCAATTACTGTACATACTAGTCCGGACTGATAAGCAGACTGATTTGGCAGTGTGGATCGACAACCAGAGCTATTCCTAACTATCTAGCCTATATATAATACAGTACATGAGGCAAGTATACGTTCTATACATAGACTATAATATATGATGGTCAAGCTATATTTCAGTCAATAATCAGTAAAATAATTACCTGTTATACTTATACAATTTTGTAAGCACGATTTTATGTCACTCTGGTGTACATCTCGACAATCAATCGAGGGTATGTCAGGGCAATCCAAGCACCCTTCCAAATCATGACTGAAATACGTGCCATTGCCGCATTGACTGCTGATGAAGTTCGGCAGCTGATACAGCACGATTATACACATTAATCGGCAAGAAACACCTTGTCGATGAGTACCAAACATCTTCTCTTTTGAAACTATACTTTGAAAGCTTAATGAATAATGGCTGCCTTTAATGCTTTGGTTAACAAACATTAGACTGATTTCATACAATCGCGGGAACAGTTTATGTATAGTCCTTTAAACTAATTTACATTAAAAATATTTATAAACTGTTAATATGTATACGTAATTGTTAAAACTGTTTAGATTGCATTTTTTATTAATTTAATTCGGCAAAACCCAACGATTATCTTTTATATGAAGAGAGTTGCTTTACATATATAACGTTGTTCGTCTAAAAAGGCAAAAGATCATGCACTAAATATAATTAATTTGGTATTATTTATTGGTGTTTAATAAAAGTTATACGAAATAATTCTGCTGAAGGCTGTTTTCCAGTCAATTAAGCGTTTTCATATAGCTAAACGCCTACGTACGGAAAAGTTTATTTCTTCTAAATTTTATCCGCGTACTACCTCAACAAATATACATGAAACCAAACAAAAAACTAAAGTTAAATGCTTCTTTTATACATTTAGATTTTATTTATTTATATGTAACAATGAAATTAATTTAAACTTTTCCGTGCGTGTTGATGGGCCATAAATAATATATCATTGTTGAGGGACATTCCCAGGTATATCCAGCAAGTGGGGATTTCCCTCTGTTTCATCAGGTTTCATTCAATAGTATAGGGCGCGTGATTTCCGGCTTGCTTACCTAGCTATAATATTACTTGTTGGCCTCGTTTATTAATAAACATGCAAGGGCGTAATTTTACTTGGAAATTCCCGAGATTCTAAGGAAACGTAGAGAGCGAAAGTGCAAGTTGCTGACAGGACACAATATTCAAGCAACGTCATAATTTATATAAACAAAACCAGAGTTACACGTCGTTTTCAAAAGTAGTGATACCTAGTTTCATTATAGGTCCGATTTACTGCAGTCATGAGTCTTCAACAATTACAGAACATAACCGACAAACATGTCGCGCGATCATCGGGTGATCCTCCAACATATACAACTGGAAACGCCAAAGTGGTTAGCGTCCATGATGGCGATACGTGTGATTTGGTATTTGTTAGAAACGGGCGTTTTGAGCGGTTCAAGTGTCGCTTGGCTAGCATAAATACTCCAGAATTGAGCACTGGTTTAGGAGCACTGAAGGCACGCGATTTTCTGGTCTGGTTGAGCCTCGGTAAAGACCCATCTAGCTTTCCACACAGCAGCCAACCGTTCTCCGAGCATCAAATCCAGAGTAGCTTGGACGCAAACAAACAGTTGGTTTATGTAGAATTTCAAGGAATTGGTGGATATGGAAGGCCTTTGGTTATTTTAAAGAAGCATCAAGGTGGAAAGTCGTTCAATAATCTACTTATCGAGTATGGGTATGCTAATGCATACCACTGATATTGATATACTTTCAAAGATATTAGCAGATGTACTATTACAGCACTTTATAATAGTATACATCATATACAATAATTTAAAGCTGACATTGTAAGCATGCTTTTTATGTTCCGCAAATATAACCATCTTTTAAATTGAAGAAACATTGTAGGAAGGAACAGATTAATACTAATATACAGTTAGCCATTAAAGTGATAATGTGGACTTTTCTATTAAAATTCAAAATTATAATACCCTGATTGCCAGAGGTTCTCGTATCTTTTGCCCCATTCTCGCTCTTCGTACAAATTCTAATCGAACCAGGGTACAATTCTAAATACTAGCAGCTAAATCGACGAATGCACATTTGCCCGACGCCATCTTGAATTCAGCGCAATGACCTGGTCTCAGTTATGATGTCGTAATATCAACCATGAATGATGTAATCAAAACAAACGCGTATTCGCGGGAAAATTAAAATATTGGATTCTGATTGGATAATTGTCGCTCGCGCATGCCCCGTATGGCCGTTTTATATTTGCCCTTAAATATATTATAGAAGAACGCTATATAAGTGGATAATTGCACATGCGCTAATGAGTAATGAACATGCATAAGGGTCCACACAAATCGTTGTAATAAGGCTATAAGCCCATTTTTTCCTTCAGTATTCCAAGCATCCCTTAACATGTTGCAATATTAACGGTAAAACAATTTTATATCGCAAAAATTCCAATATAAAATATGAAAATAACTAAATCTCTGAATATGCTCGGTCGCGCGGTAAATTTATTTTTTATAACAAAATACAAAAATATATCAACGCGGAAACCAAAATATCGTCGGATGGTGATGAGAATCAAGGAATTTATTTTATATGGCCTTACAGTAGCAAAAATCACAATGAATACACTTTTGATGCTTTTTACAGTAAATCATCAATAATAATATTGTAATGATTTATTAATTTAGCTTTTGATATCACATAAAGGAAAATAAACCGGCCGAAAATACAAAGCAACAACATTTTACCATTTTACCCACTGATCTGAAATAAGACTGGATAAAGCATCTGCTGCAGTGCATATCAGTGGTGTGCTGGCAGGGGGGAGCACCCCCCCCCCAGATAGCAATTCTTGGGGGGCGCAGAAATGAAAACGGGGCGCCTATTCCGCCGAATTTTGAAAGAGGGTGGGAAAAACGCATTTGAAAAAATATAGTTACTTCCACCAAGGAAAAATGTGTTTATAGGCTTACATAAACAGACTGAGCGCATAGGCGACAAAGTGATATATTAAATTACAGACTATTTTGTCTGACCAGCGTATTTGCTACCTCACACGAAATCGTTCATATAGAAACACGATCAGTGATCACACGCAATGTAGCATTACCGGATTATTGGTCAGGTTTCGAAGCGATCACGGGAATTATGCCATTTTTTGCTGGTATTATGCCGTTATATTTTTCCTTTATTATCAGTTCACGAATCACGAGAGCGGCGCAAATTAGATAGTTATGATAGTGTAAGTTGTGTACGCAATTTAGTTGTTTGCGCAAGAAACACCATGACTCATTGAGTAATGTAAGTAATAAGATAATGCTGAAACGCGCGCCCTTTTGCATGGCAGCCAAGCAAGGAAACCTTAAAATGCATGGTGTACCACTGACATCGACTCGCACCGATGTGCAGATGAACTGCTCAACTTTGCAGAATCTTTTCAAAAATTGAAGTGTTCAGTGATTTATGATGAAGACAAAGAAGAAGAGAAAGATTCTGATTTAGACTCCGGTTCTGAATCTGAAACCGAAGACCACGAAGAAGAAACCGACAGTGAGTCAAGCGACGACGGAACTGCTGAAGAACCAAAGGACAAGGATAAACCATCATTTCTATAGAGGCTCTGAGAATGTTTTTGAAGCCTGATTATCACCTAGTTGATGCATTTCCAACTCTTTGTAAAGTTTATGCGATCGCAGTTGCAATTCCAATCAAACCCGCACACGTTCGTCTATGTCTCAAGAAAAACTTGCTTGAAGCGTTGCTACTATATGAACGGAAGATTTTAATGTCTTTGGACAAGGAGCAGATTATTACCGCCTTTGGAGGTCTGACATCAGAATTGTCAAAGGCGCTTATATATATATACCGGGTGTCCCGAAAAAAAGTACTCCGGTTTGATTCGTAATAACTTCGAAACTAGTAAAGCTTTTAAAGAGAAATAACTTGCATCAAATAGAGGAAGCCCTAACTTAGATTTTGATATATTACACTTGTATTTCACTTAAAAATTCGCGGAGATATTAATGTTTAAAATCGGGAGCATATTTCTGGATGTGTCTGAAATATGCAAAAAACGGGGTATCAAGTAATAATCAAGATTTGCCCGACTGAAACATGCACTATTAGGCTACCAGTAAATAAATGACACTTGACAAATTGTTTATTATGAAACAAAGTATTGTTATCTACAAAATACAAGGAAGGTTTATTCGTCCGAAATCCGCGTGTGTTTCTATAGCACGAGTATACGTTTCCTTATTTCATAAGACCACTGACTGCATCGCGAAGGATCGTCATGGATCGTTCGTGTTCTGAATTAGGGGATGCTGTCACAATGGAATTGTGAAGCTCTTCTAACTTTCGCAACGTTCTGAAATCTTGTTAAGAACACTCAATCTTTTTTGCTTTTTCTTAATCTTGGCAAGTTCAGAATAAACTAAGAATGAAACACAATCAAACCATACAACTCCATAAGACATAACAAGCAACTCCGCAGAGACATCCAACATTTTTGGAACAAAACATAACAAAATAGTAGCGTTGATACTGTGATGTGTATTTGCAAATTGCAGTATTATTTCCTTCATTAAAAAATAATATTCATCCTGCTCTAATCGAGAAATATTCAACTCTGTTTTCAACCCATGAAAAGCATAAAAAATATAGGCTATTTAAGAAAAATTTAAGCTATTTAAGAAAAATTTAAGCGCCTGCCTTGAATGGTCTTTCATGTACCTTTAAATTTGTATTAAAGACATATTAAATACTTTACGTTTATATTTCGTAATATAATACGAACGTTTATATTTCAGGAAACAATGAGCTTAGATGTAAGATGTCTAAATCTACACCATATTTTTATACAATCCCTGACGACAATTCGCTGAAATACAAGTTAGCCTTATATGTCATTAAACAAACAAACGCTGGAGTTAATATTTGACATGCCGATTTTCGCTAATTTTAGACACATCCCAAAATATGCTCCCGATTTTGAACATTAATATCTCCGTGAATTTTTAAGTAAAATACAACTATAATATATCAAAATCTAAGTTAGTCCTTCCTCTATTTAATGCAAGTTATTTTTGCTTGATAGCTTTACTTGTTTAGAAGTTATTATAAATCAAACCGGAGTACTTTTTTTTGGGACACCCGGTATATATATATATATATATATATATATATATATATATATATATATATATATATATATATATATATATATATATATATATATATATATATATATATATATGACAATGTTTAGAAATGCTAGAAATCGACAATCGTTATTGAAACATTAAAGACATTGGAGAACATCGATCGATTGATATGGGCAATAATATTTGACGTTATCAACATTCGATACAACACGTGATATATTGTACTAACTATCAAGTGATATATAGTATTAACTCTTTTTGTATGTTTTGACAATTAACATGACAGATTCGTATCAATAAAGTCCAAGCACACTTTTTAGTAAAACATTACAAGTTATTAGTGATATCGGCGTTTAATATAAATCAAAATATTTTATACAAATATACTCAACGAGTGACTTTATTCCTCCATAATTAATCTAAAATAAAGATTTATAGTAAAACTGATACCGTTCTAATTTAAGTACTACTACAAAATTCTAACCAAATTGCAAATTTCGACACGTTATAATCTCGTTTCCTGACCATCAGATTTCTGTTAAATCTTCCCCCAAAGTCCAGGAAATGGCATTTCAGAGACTCTAAATTTAAAAATTTTCCGAGGGTGCATGCCCCCGAACCCCCTAGGAACACCTCGCACCTGTGGCGCTCGGCTCATGCCTTCGGCTCTCGTTTATCAAGCGTTACATTATAGGGGCGCTTATTGGTTAATAGCCCACTGCCCCCCCCTCCCAGAACAATAGTACCCAGCACGCCACTGGTGCATATGTGAAGCCAATGGCGGCCATATTGGATGGCCCCACAATTAATTTAATATAATATGGTAGTCTGGACATGTTTAACTCTTCCTTTGCGTTTCTAGTCACTAATGGGAAAGGAATATTGCCTGGATCTAGATAAGAATTTATCATCAGTAGCCTCTCTTTTTTCTTAAATTTGCCTGTGAATAATAATATCAAATATGGCCGTCATGAGCCTCATTATGTGGTGTATAAAACGTTCTAAAAGTACTTCAAAGAAGTTTTAGAACCTATATTTCACAAGTCACACAGGCGAAGATATTTGCTTTATAGTCCAACTGAACTTAAACAGCAAACAATTAGACTGGTCATGAATTTGACTGATTTATAAATCTCCTTACAGTTTTAACGTTATAGCGCACAACTGTGCTTTAGGACCATTATTTCCTCAGTTTGCAAGATATGATCACGAAACGCGCACACAACATTACGCTGGCAAATACTAAGGATTACGAAAAACAAAATTCTTTAAATATTCTCGTTGCCATGGCAACAAGGTAATTTCAAAACGATCGTATTTTTGCATTCTTTCTTTGTTTTTCTAAATTACCTTAGGTTGAAACTTTTTTTTTCTGCACACACGAAGCTAATGTACAGTTACTTTTAAGAGATTTTTTTAAAAAATCGTAGTTATCGAAAAAACGTTTTTTTCAAAATAAAAATATCGGCTCCTACAATTTTTTAAACTCGTATATTTTATTCATTTGAATTGAACAATATGACGATTGTTTAGATAATTATCTCGGTGTGTAATTCAAACTACTTTGTAATATCATGTACGTGTGATCAGTGTCAGTATTGAATTAAACAATATAATTGGTAAATTTATTCTTTAGAAGTGTATAAGTACGGCTTATACGCCCATATTTAAAATACTTAGCCGTGGAACGTTGAACCTTATAGGCCGTGGGCTGTTGGCCAAAATTATTTCGTGGCACCCATGTGGGAAATACTTGGTTTGGGGTTTATTTGAAAGGCATATAGGTACATCACTACCAAAAAAAGTTCCCAAGCA